ATTGGTGGTTTTTTTTTTTTTTTCCCTAAGATCTACAGTTGAAGCTTGGCATTCAGCTGTATGTTTAATTCTTTCATAAAAACATTGTGGTGTTATCCTTGACTGCTGATACACTCAGAGTTTCAAATGGTGAATGGAAAGCTAGCCGAGTGAAGCAGGAGGTGTGTTTTTTGCTGAATGTGAAAAGTCATGCTGCTTATGTTCATATATCACAAAAGATTTTGCAGTCTCTCTGTTCTTTTTCCCCAGCGTGTTCTGCCCTCGGAGTTGCTCAGTTAGACTCAGTCATTATTGCTCCACCTCCAGCTGAAGATGGAACTAGCCTCTCCTTGGAGTACTTGCAACCTTACTGGCAGGAACTTGAAAATCTAGTTCAGAATAAAAAGGTTGTTGCCATAGGTACCTCTGATCTAGATAAAACCCTGTTAGAGCAGCTGTATCTGTGGGCACAGGTGAGAACAAACTTCCTACATACAGTATTTCTAGGATGGAGTAACGGTTTTGTTTCCTGCCATGTTTTTATAAACTTTTGTTATAAATGGTTTTATATGCAAAATATTAGTTAACCCTGTTCAGCATCTTATGGAAGTCTAGTTGTCACCTGTTCAGTGGTTTTACATACAGGCCAGCAAAGGCTGGAAACCATGGGGTCTGTTCAGTAGCAGGTTCTTTGAAGCAGTTAAGATTTAAGTTTTGAATGCTTTTATGTTTAGGAAGGAGTATAAACAGTACTCTTAAACCTTTAGATTTATTCCAGTGACTCTGAAAACATAACTGTTTTCACTTCAAGCTGCGTTATGAATGAGGGATTTCCCCTTAGAAAAATGCTGTTTGAGTGCTGAGCTTAAATGTAAAGAGGAGGACAGGCTATGAATCAACTGGCACAGTATTTTGTTGTCCAGTGTGACTAATTGCCTCTTGTGACATTTAAGTGATGAAGGTTTCACAGAATCACTAAGGTTGGAAAACACCTCTAAGATCATCAAGTCCAACCATCAACCCAATACCACCATGCCCACTAAACCATATCCTGAAGTGCCACATCCACATGTTTTTTGAACGCCTCCAGTGATGGTGCCTCCTCCACCTCCCTGGGCAGCCTGTTCCAATGTTTGACCACTCCGTAAAGAAATTTTTCCTAATATCCAATCTAAACCTCCCCTGGCGCAACTTGAGGCCATTTCCTTTCGTCCTATCACTAGTTACTTGGGAGAAGAGACCAACACCCACCTCACCACAACCCCCTTTCAGGTAGTTGTAGAGAGCAATGAGGTCTCCCCTCAGCTTCCTCTTCTCCAGACTGTGTGCCCATGTTCATGTAAGCTTATGGATTTACTGTTTCCTTATTAGTTCTTTGAATACTCATCTTACAACATTTCTTTTGTGGTATGTGATCATACTGTATCTGTATAAGAGGTGCTGCTGAGAGTTCTGATCTGTGCTCTTTGCTGTTTTGCATATACTGAGAGGATGATAATTGAGGAGATTAATGACCATCCACCACCTCACTTGATGGTGATCGTGGATGCAGTCTGTGATGAGCAGAGTGTCAGTGGAAGAGAGTCCCTTTTAACTTAATCTGATCTAGGCACTTAACCTGAAGGCATAGGAGACTGCAAATTATATATCCTTAATTTTTTTTTTTTAGGTATATTCAAACTAACACCCTATAATGTTTTTACTACAACCTGCTGCTTTTTAGGGAGTGCAGCAGACAGGAAGCCAGAATGGGTTAGTATGTGTCGTCTTGTGGCAGCACCTGAAGTCAGATCCTGTTCTTGTTTTCGGACCTGTGCTGCAGGAAATTGCAGATGGAGGAGTTGCCTGTTCAGCATCATGCAGAATTAATTAGCCTCATTCAGACCTCAAAACAATGGTCAAAGGCAAATTGTTCAAAGCAAAATTTCTGTTGTAATAGAGGGCTTGGGTGGAAACAACTAAAATAAGTACATGAATAATCTTTCTTCATATAAAAGTATTCTGTTACTTTCAGGTGAAACCAAGCAGTAATCAGGTGAACCTAGCTTCCTGTTGTGTGATGCCGCCTGATCTCACAGCATTTGCAAAACAGTTTGACATACAGCTGTTAACTCACAATGATCCCAAAGGTAAGGTTTTGCTGGATAAGAGAAGACTTTTAAATGCATTTATTCAGTACAAGATCAGGAATAATCTTTCTCTGAACTTCAAACTTCATTACATTGAAATCCTGAACAAGGGATTCTAAACGTTTCACCTCTGTAAAATATTTCTATTAAGTTCTTGCTTTTGCTTCAAGAAAGAGGGGGAAAGGCAATCTTCTACCCTTGGATAGTTTCTTGAAATTGTTTTAATCAGAGAAAATACAGTAAATAGAAGAATAAACTACTGAGAAATTTGTACTACATATGTTCAAAGAATAGCTTATTTCCACAAAACATGAAATGACGGTTGTATTGCTGAAGGCCAGTACATGGCAAACAAAAGTCTACTTGCCCAGAACTTGTCTGCGAAATAGCTTGTATAGAAATGTTGATGGTCAGTTTATTTTTTTAGTAGTTTGGTAATGTTAGACATATAAAATTCTTATGGTTTAAGCAGGATTCTTTCGAAGTAGTGACTTCTTAAAAGAACATTGCTACAAAAGGAGTTGGTGTAAATTCTTTGCTTGTTGCATGCAGGGATTCATTTATTAAATGAAAGCTTCCAAGTCCTTCAATCATTTAGACTCTATACCAGCTACCTAGAATATGCTGGGATATTACATTAGTCTCTCTCAAACATCATCTAATCTTCTTAACTCTAATGGCGCCTTAAATACCTTGCTGGAATTGTAAGCGAGAAGTCTTAAACAGTATTTAGTTAATTCCTTCCCTACATTCTTACTTATGACCAACAATTTGTGATGATACTTTTCCTCCCCTCTCCTTTCTTCCCATTCTCCCCTGCCCCCCTGAAAAAAAGTATTTATGAAGTACCTGTTCTGTAGTATCACTGTTAGAACTAATGAATTTCATCAGTGCTTGAGCATGTATCGGCACTGCTCTGGCAGCGTACAAGATGAATTGCCATTCAATCCAGCAATTTCCATGTCCTGTGAAGCCCAAAGTGCAATCTGCAGTTTAGTAAATACTCTCTATTGAGAGTCAAGAAATGAAGAGGAGGATTTGGATAGAAAACAAAGCAAGGAGTGATTCCCTTAGGCATTGTTTGCAAAGCTTATCTTTTTTGTAGGGGTCAGCTGAAGAGTATTGAGACTATCTCTTGGGAATGCTCCTCATCAAAGAGATTGTTCCCTTGACTGACTTTTCAGAGGAAACTAGGAGGATTTGTATTTGCCTTCCGTTTCTGCTTTGTGGCATATAAGCCCGTTTTTCTTAATGCTTTTTGGGCTTGTGGTTATTATGAGCCCAGTTATGGGAGATGCTATAAATGTTGAGCTTCCAGTGACTGCAGAGGTAACTGAGAATGCTCAGTACTTTGTTGATTTCAGCCTTGTGCTTCACTCACCTCTGCTTTGTCTAACTAGCTCCTCAAATTTAATTTTCATTTTTTCCTGCTGACATATTGTAGAAATCTCAGTTAATTAGTTTTGTGGGAAGTCCTCAATGGTGCAAAAAAGTGTCCTGAAGATTTCTTCTGTAATATTCAGCTGCTTTTACCTTATGTGCATTCCAGAAGAGTGGATCTGTGGAGTATCTGGTACTGCTTAAGATTTTTGACTGTAGGAAAAGGCTTCTCTTACTAAGTGTTGCTTTTTGCAGCTGTTTATGTGACATTATTTAAAGCATGAATATCCCTTTTTAACTTCAGAATTACTTTGTGAAGCAAGTTTCCAAGAAGTTCTTCAGGAAAGCATCCAGAACACGAAAGCACATGAGTGGATTCCTTTATGGCTTCTCCGGTACTCAGTTATTGTTAAAAGCAGAGGAATTATCAAGTCCAAAGGCTATATCATGCAAGCTAAAAGAAATGCCTGTTAAAACACTTTTTTTTTTTTAATGGCTTACTGTTTTGATTTCTTGGGGATGGGTGGAACATTTGCTTTTTTTCACAGAAACACTTTTACAGCATTTGTAACAAAGACCAAAACTTGTAATTATTCAGTGTGGTGAAAAAGCAGGAATGTCTTCAGTGTTCTAACACTATTTTTCTTTCTTAACCTGTTGACCTGTTCATTTAAAATATGAAATATTTTGAGTTTGGTTTTTAATTGCAATTCTCTATAGAGAAACAGTTTAAAATATTTTTCTTTGTATGACCAGTTCACTGTAAAATTATCATTATATTTTAGCTGCCATTAGGTAGTATAGAGAAACTTGTACATTTTTGTTTAAAAAAAAAAATAAATTTCTCTTAAATAATAGTTACTTATCTGGTAGGTACATAGATTTCAAGGACTAGTTTTTATAGCAAATTGTCATATTTTATGAAAAATTAACCCCTAAAATTAAACTGGTATCTCATTACTTGGTATGTATATATAGGCAAGTCACCTGTTTAATTTGTGTGGATGGGAAAATTGGTTTATTTTTAATATAGTGTAAAAGACCTCTATGATTTAGAGAAAATGGCTCTTCCAAATTACTTTCTGACTGTTACTTGAATTCCTTCTGGCTTTTTTGTGCCTCAATATGGTTTGTTTAGTGTTTGCACAAGTGTGTTGGCATCTTCACTGTTTGAAATAGAAAATGTATTATTATGTGAATGTTTAAAATAAGAATTGAAAACAAGTGATGAAAAAAAATCTGTTAATCAAAAATTGAATTGTGCCTGTCTTCTGAACTGTGGCGCTTTTTTTTATTGATACTTGTGAGCTACACAATCAGAATCACCCAAGTCAGAACAGATAGTAAATGTTGAAGCTGTTCACCACAGGATTGTCTAAAATGGATGACTTCTTTTGAGCTTGCCTAGGGACCTTTGCCTGAGTGACGTTTGGAAATGATGCAAGCAAGGGTTAGCTTGAAGTTAGATACATCACTGTTTGGCAGTAGCTTAGTGCATTGGCTTTTGAATCCTAGAGCTGGCTTTTGAATCCTAGAGAGATGGCTGGATTAATGTAGTCTTTCTATTGAAGAGGCCTTTTCATTTCCTTGGCCTTTAAATCAGAATAGATGGCAAAAGCTCAACTTGTAGATCAGCAGGAGCTTGACACTGAGTGTCTAAAAATCCTCATTTTCCTTTTTATTTCAGGCAGGAGCAGGGCTTTGTAATACAGGTACTCATTAACTTAGTTGTACATATTTTGAGCTTTGGACTGTAAGGGAATGAATTTTTACCAACGTCTTTCAAATTCTGTCATGTAGGCAGCTAGTGGAATTTGAATGCTTGTACGCAGTGTCCAGAGCATCAGCTTCCTATAATCTATTCCACTAAGTTAAAAGATGAATCTTTTTCAAGATACCTTTTGAGTCCTCAGACATCTTACCTGTAGGTGGCAAATACTGGGAAATTCTCCTGGGCTTCTTTAGCTCTTTTAATAAGTGAGAGGGAACTGGAACTAGTAATGCATCAATAAAAGTTTGAAAATTTTTCTCCTAATCAGAATGTAGTCTTTGTTTTGAGTGCTGGCTCAGTGTGTATTGGAGTTTCAAAATCACATGAGTTTCATTTTAAATGTCTCTACCAGCTTTGAGTTGTGTGCTGCTGCTGATTAACCACTGTCTGTAAATTCTGTCTCTGTTGGGCTGTTGACATTCTGTATTGTATTAGACTTGCATGTGTGCTCAGTTTTATAAATTGAAATGTTACAAAACAATGTACAGGCTCCTCTAATGGGATATTTATTTATTTCCTTTCTGTAAACTGTTAACAGTTTGCTTGCTGTGGAAAAGTACCCTTTAAGATAGGGATAACCTTATTTTTCTAGAGTTACTGAGAGGGTGATGTTACTGGGTTATCTCATTAATTTGTTCTGCATCAAAGTGGGAGAGATGGGATTTCCATCCATGAGAAACTTGAAGGTTTGAATTAAAATTTGAAATTCTTGTAGGTTTTTAATCTGTGCTTTGTATGAATTCTATCATCTCAATAACTGTCTCTTCTACTGTCATAAACAGTATTTTACACTTTGATCATAACGTAGCCTTACGCTCTGGCATTTCATCATCTCATGGCGTATACAGCCTTCTCCCCTAACCGAGAGCACGGTGTGCTAGTTAGCAGCTGCCGCAGCGCTCTTCCATACAGAGTCGACACACTGCACCGCCCTGCTCATCCCT